TAAAATAGCTACAGCAGAATGAGTATAAAGCTCTCATTAGTTACAGCAGATTGAGTGACAAGTTTTCGCTGAGGAAATAAAAAAGCAAAAGCTCATAACAACAAAAATAGAATGAGTGCAAAGCTTTCAATTATGAAAAGAAATAGCAAAACTGCCGATTTCGAACTACAAACTGAATTCAAAGCTTTCACTTAGTAAAATTAGTCCTCAACAACAATTTTTAAAACATTCTAAGTTTCCAAAAATAGAGTGTTAAATTTAACTTATCTTGTAATTGAAAAAAATTGAAAAATACTCTTTCGCTGCTGAGCTTTTATCGCTTTAAAAAGCTCTATCAAGAGCTTTCACCATATTTTCTTTCAATTGCAAGCAAAATAAATTGGAAATTATTAAAACGGTTTAGTTTCCACCATTTCGATGCTTTGCTTTTGCCATAGTTTTTATTTATATTACAAGCAAAATAAGTTGGAAATTATAAATACGGTTTAGTTTGCACTGTTTCGCTGCCGTGCTTTCATCCCTGCGGAGCTTTTATAGCTTTCAAAAGCTTTCTCAAGAGCTTTCACCATATTTTCTTTTTATTACAAGCAAAATAAATTGGAAATTATAAATACCGTTTAGTTTTCACACAATTATTTATATAATGCTAAAAAATAATTGTATATATATTTTTTTAAATTAGATTTTTTCGTTATATTTAAATATCGTTAAAAATATAATAACATTTTTTTCTGAGACAAGGAACTTAAGCATGCTGACTCTACCATAACGGTATTGTTTTTAACTATAAAACTTTATAAGTAATTATATACAAAAAAAAAATTAAACTGTAATCTTAAAAATCACTTCAAGCTGCTCCATGTAAAAATATTATAAACTATTAACATTAAACAAAAAACACTAAAAAATCGTTGAACTTGCATACATACTCAACTTTAGAAAAAAACAAAATAAATTAAGGCATAATTAGATTTATTAAAAAGTACATTTGTTAATAACTTTGTTGATTTGAAGTTAACTATATATTTTGAAGGAAGAACATCGAAAATTAATATATATTATTATTACTTAAACATACCCCAAAACCCCCAAAGAGGAAAAATAAATATTTTCAAATTTATTTTGTTACAAAATTAAATTAAAAAAAAAAGAACCATGTCACAATTATTTTTTCGAACAAAAAAACACATTATGTCAAATTAATCACGACACATGCATACACACACAAATATACGTGTATGTACTCTAATATGTATATGTATTGCGTAACCCAAGTCAACTTAGTTCTGTATGTAAATATCTATTGTATACTGTAAGGACCCATCATTTAAATCGTTTTCTATAAGACTTGTTATAGATTTTATTAATATTTAATACTTAAAAGCAAAAACAAAAAGGAAAGTAAATTGTATAGCAAACTATGTATTGTATGTACTATATTTTAAGCGAGCCATGCAACTTAAGTAAAGTCCAAACTTGAAGCCAAAAATCGAAACCTTTCTTAAATGCTTAAACTAAACTTAAACTGCAGTCATGCCAATATAAAAACGTATTGCACCTATACATACACACATGCATACCGACCTAAATGTGTTGTATGTGCGCGTTTGCCCAAATGGCAATTAACTGTTCACTGTTTATCCTCAACTTGTAAGATAACTCATTGTAGTGAAATACTTCCTCTAAATAATTTCATTTATGCAATTTTCCATGTGAAAACAAGTTTTTTGTTAATGAAAACAGAATTTGTTGAAGTTTTTTTTAATTTGTACCGATTTGAATAAAATTTTAGAAACAAAATTATTAGTGTTTTGCATTTGCGTTATTGGAGTGAGATAAGTTACTAAGATATGTTATTTCTAGTTGGAATCGATGTGCCATCTTTCTGCTACGGAATCATTGCAAATGTTAAGGAAGTGTTTTGGAGAGTCTACTTTATCACGAACCAAGTATATAAGTGGCCTATAGCATTCAAAGAAAAAGTCATCTAAAATTGTCGTGTTTGCATCAGAGAGACAAGAGAGCATCTCAACAACTCTTATGGGTCGACTGAATACATTTGGGTTCATGTTTTGGGAATCAATACTAGACACGTAGCAAAAGCTCTGAATCTTTTACAAAATCGACGTCCACTTGAGTTGAAGAATATGATCTACCTTTGTTGTCATGGAAAGACTTACACCTGAGCAACATTTACAAATCGTTAAACCTTAATACAAAAATTCATGTTCTATAAAGATCGGCAAATAGACCACGTCTAGCATGCAATGAAGAAAATATAGCAGCCATACCTGAGAGTATACACCAACATCGTGAAGAGTCGATTCGGTGCCGTTCGCAAGAACTCGGTGTTTACGTCGAGATCTTAAACTGAAAGTGCACAAAATACAACTTTTCCAAGAACTCAGGTCTCTCAATATTCCCAAGCGACATCGCTTCGCTCTATGTTCTCTTGAAAAGTTCTAAGAAAATCCGACGTTTCGAGCCAAATTTTGTTCAGCRATGAGGCTCATTTCTAACTCAAAGGGGTATGTAAACCAGCTAAATTGTTGCATTTGGAACGAAGAGCAACATGAAGAGATTCATTTTGCATCCAGAAAAATACACCGCTACGTTTGGTTTGTGGGTCGGTGGAATTATTTATCCATATTTCTTCAAAAATGGTGCTGGTGAGAACGTAATCGTCAATAGAGACCGTTCTCGCGCGATAATAACCGACTATTTGATGTCTGAAATTGAAGCTCGTGATCTCGGCGACTTTTGGTTTCAACAAGTTCCACTTCCCACACATCGCATCAATCAACGGATTTATTGAAAGAACACTTCAGTGAGCAGATCATTGAACTTGGGGCCAGTCGATGGGCAACCAAGATCGTGTAATATCACACCGTTATACTTTTTCCTGTGGGGATATGTGGAGTCTAAAGCCTAGGTGGATAATACCGCTTCAATTCAGTTTTTGGAGCAAACCATCACGCTTGTCATTCGCCAGTTACCAGTCGAAATTCTCGAACGAGTAATCGAAAATTGGACTCAACGAACGAACCACTCAGACATAGAAATTCAAAAAATAAATGCTAAATAATGTTTTTTCGAATAATAATAAACATTCCTGCTTAAATATGAAGTTTTTGCAGATTTATTTAAAAAAGTAGGAAGCCTAGAAATGGATCACCATTTAGAACGTCTTCATGTTGAAGCGTGTAAGAAGACAATGTTTAATGCTGGTAAATTCATATTCACCTAGAATACATCTATATAAATATATACATATGTATGTGGTATTCATATGTATGTACATACATAAATACATACATACCTGCAAGCAATCTGCTTAAGCTTAAACTGCGCGATTATCTTATCAGTCTCGCCGTTGATACCCATTATATGCAGACACTCTTGTATTGAGAGACTTTTTCATACTCGACTCCATATATGAAAATGCATGTCTACGGTATGTACATATATATGTATATTTTTTTTAAATATATAAAAAATATAAATAAATTGCTGAGCATATATGAAATCGTTTGTACTTTTATGCATTGCTCTTCAAATTACTACTTCACAGCTTTTAAATATAAATGTATGTATGTATACTTCTATGTATGCGTGTATAAGTATATCAGTATGTACTTCACGCACATTGGAGTATACAAATACGAGATAATATTGTTTATAGGAATCAAAGTGACCCCAAATACTTACCTAATTACTGTGCTACAAAAAGTTTATTGTAATAACGGTGACTAAGGGAGAGAAACAGAAAGAGTTTTAGTATTAAAAGTAATGTGCRATTATATGTGCTTACAGTGGTGGCAAAAACATGGTGTAACCTGAATCATGAATACACATACATACATGTATATTGGAAACTTCTGTTGGTGCTACCGAATGAAATAATATTTTTTTTTTATAAATAAAATACCACCCAAATAAAATGAAGTCGAAAATATATCAAATATTGGGTAGTCGAAAAAGTGTTTCGTATTTCTAATCAAACTTCAACTTATTTTTTTATATTTATAAAGAACTTAATGAACCAAATATTTACCATTTTGCTCAATCCCTTTTGTGCCAATTTCCGCTAGAGACATTATTCTATCAGGGTAAAACTTTCTGGTTACTCGGTGAAAAACTATGACAATTCATTTTCACAGGCTTCTCTTGAAGCCAACTTTACGCCATTATGGGAGTTCTGCATTGACCGAAACTACCATTGTCCGATGGTGCAAGGTCAGGGCTATATGGTGGATGCATCAAAACTTCCCAGCCAAGCTCACCCATTTTTTGCCGAGCCATCAAAGATATGTGTGGTCTAGCGTTGTCCTGATGAAGCCCTTTCTGTTGATCAGTTCTGGCCGTTTTTTTCGATTGCTTGCTTCAATCTCATCAGTTGTTGACGGTAAAATGTAGAATCAATTGAAAAAGCTGAAACAGCTCATAGTGTATGATTCCTTTCCAATCCCACCAAACACTCAGGATAACCTTTCGAGTCGTCAGTCTTGGCTTTGCGACCGTTTGTTGAGCTTCAGCCCGCTTGTACCATGATCCTTTTCCCACATTATTGTCGTATTTGATCCACTTCTCGTCTCCGGTTACCATTCGCTTCAGAAATGGTTCGTTTCAGCAAAGAACGGTTCATTAAAATTTTCACAGTACGTTCCTTAGCAATGTCATGGCAGCTTATGTGTCTGTGCTGATCAATCTTTTCCATAATTTCATCGACTTTTACAACGATAGGTCGACCAGAGCGAAGTGCATCTTTCACATCGCAATTTCCATAATGGAAGTCATAAAATATTTATGTGCTGCCAATTTAATGCGACACCACTGTTTATATGTGTACATATATACATATATACTTTTTAGGCATATTTCTTACTTTAATTTATTAAATCTATACCGTGAAATGTTGGTTCATCTGCAAGCATTGCAGTAAAAGTTGAGACGTTGTAGAGATACAACGAAATCTAGGCGACGCGTTTCAAAAATAAGCAGAATTAAATTTACATCAACATTATTCGTGYATACATACATACAGTCAATACAAAAAGATAATTGAAAGCGCAAAAAAATGCCGCTAGATACCGAAAGCACCGCGCTCTTGAGCAAAGAACAACTCAAATCCAACGGTAACGACAATGAACACAAGAAGGAACAATCGAAATCCCAATCGCATTACATCGAGGTTGTGGAGAAACCAATATATAACGGTTATACAACCATACTAGGGGAGGAAGAGTGCGTTTGAAATGAAGCACATATTACCTAAATTTTCTACATTAAATTTATTTCTCCCTATTCTAGCTTCTCCGCTAGCCTAACTCTGGAAGAACTGCTGCCCTTTATCAACGATTCGTGGTGGCAAAAACTGCGGCGCACACTCTTCTGCACATTCTGCTTGGTGTTTTGGCTGATTTTATTCACCGGCTGTATGCTTGCCTATATGGAGCGTAATAAACAATGTGGCATATTGATCGCAAGAGCAACAACACCAACTAATACGAGTACGTTGACAGCAGCCACTCTACAAAGTATTTAAAAGCTGATAAGCGCGGCTAATTTACATAGAATTTTTGCTTTGCTTTACGGCCGACTTTCGTTTTGACAGAAAAGTTCGATGTACGATTTGGTATAAGACAGTTGACATAAAAAGTTTTCGAGAAACACTATAATCAAAGCGTTCGTTATGGCATACCATTTGTTTTCTGTGCTTCGTTATTTTAGTGTCACGCAAAGCGCAAAAGAAGTTGTATGTGAATGGGCCTTTATAGTCTTATCTTCATAAGTAAAGCGGGAGATTTTCAAATTTGGAAAGGAAGTGCCTAGTTTCTCGCTTTATGATTTTTTATTTTTAGTTTGAAAAGTGTTTGTCATAACTTACCGAAGTCGCACACCTATTATAATCATTAAAAGTGAGTTCTTTATTAGGGTGTGTGCTTTTCTGAAAGGTGATATAATTATAAAATTAAAATTAGCTTGCAATATTACTGTTAATACTCGTAGCAGCCAAAATTTTGAAGTACTTACTACAAACTTATTATATATTAAAATTTTATTTTTCTACAATTTTTAAAGCATTTTTTTATTAAAATAGATGGACGGAAAGTGTATAATAATGCAATGTATTTTTTAAGCCTTGTCCGCGAACTTTAAAAAAAATGGAGCCACTGGTAAATACCAGAGACCACAGGACAGACATTGCACCTCATCCGACGAAGCTTCAAGGATGGTGAAGACTGCTCCATCGATCAAAGAAATCGTCATCGTGACCGTGTTCGAGAAAAATATTCTGATATTCATAAGATACCTAGAGAAGAGCAAACCGCTCATACTATTGATATTTACTATTCCTAATTATTGGTATTCAAATAGACATTGAATTGCAGACTAATATATCTTTGGAAAGGTCCACATTAATATTACATACATAAAACTTTATTAGGGGGTGCAGTCAATTTTGAGAAAAACTTTGGTATCCAGACTAAAGTAAGTGCTAATTTTGATGGAACCAGACGTGAAGAGCCTTGCGGCATGGTTGCGAATACCAAACAGAGTTGCCACATCTGACAGTTCCGCTAAGAGCAACGTGCAACGTTTGTTTTAAATACATATTAGCTTGTCAAAAAAGTCTTGCGGTATTTTCTAGTTGGCGCTGAGAGCGCGTACTTCTAGTTTTATTCGTCGCATCGGGTCATGCTATATCTTTTTGGAAAGCTCATTTCACGCGCTAATACGTGCTTGATTGATTGTCGTTTCTTTTAAGTCGTTCGTGAGTTAAAGCGTCGCAAACATGGAGCAAAACAGAGAGAAATTACGGCATATTTTGCAGTACTACTACGATAAAGGCAAAAATGCATCTCAAGCCGGAAATAAAATTTGTGCAGTTTATGGACCCGATACAGTTTCCATTTCCACCGCACATGGTTTCAACGTTTTCTTTCTGGTGTAGAGGTGGTCGAAGATGCGCCACGCTCCGGAAGGCCTGTCGTCGAAAATTGCGATAAAATCGTTGAATTGGTCGAAAGAGACCGGCATAGTAGCAGCCGTAGCATCGGTCAATAGCTGGGCATGAGTCATCAAACCGTTATAAAATAAAAATAAAAATAAATAAATAATACCGCAAGACTTTTTTGACAACCTATTATATCAATAGTCTGGATATTATATTCGTATTTTGATATGGGGCAACTGTAGCAATTCAAAATTACTACGGAAATAATAGGGACGCTACATAAGTATATCGGGTGATTTTTTAAGAGCTTGATAACTTTTTTAAAAAAAAAAACGCATAAAATTTGCAAAATCTCATCGGTTCTTTATTTGAAACKTTAGATTGGTTCATGACATTTACTTTTTGAAGATAATTTCATTTAAATGTTGACCGCGGCTGCGTCTTAGGTGGTCCATTCGGAAAGTCCAATTTTGGGC